AGAGAGAGAGAGAGAGAGAGAGAGAGAGAGAGAGAGAGAGAGAGATTTATTTTAGTGTATGAGTTAAGTATAAATTTTTGTTATTACTTTTATGAAAATCGTTGTTTATTATTTCACTTTTCTTCCTTTTGTTAGATACAATAAAATATTCTATAAATTAAATTAGTAAAATAAAAAAGCAAGAAACAAAATATATTTAAATTAAAATTATTATGATAGATAATAAAAAAAAATTACCTTAATAATTAGATTTTAAATTTCAGGTAAGTTGTTCTTCCCGTTGAATTTTAAATGTAAGTTTTTATTTTTTATTTTTTCTCATTAAAAGAAAAGGTTCCTTCTTATGCATATAGGAATTAAGTATAACTTTTCGTACTTACATTCTTAAAAACATATTTATCATTGTTTGTATTGTTTATTCATAAATTAATTGTTTTAAAACATTAATTTTGCATGAAGAAAATGATAGTAAGCTCGTGAATTTTTTATTTATATATAAATTAAATAGGTAAAAGAAATTATAACATTGAAACCTAAGAGTCATATGTTTAGTTAGATGTCAAACATTATAGTGAAGAAAGCTTAATGAGTTATATCATTGTAGATAACTTTGTTCTAATGTGACCTTGAGCTAGGGGTTTGTCTGTCCAAAAGGGACAATTCTTGTTGGATAAGGTTATTGGAGAACACATTGAGCTATGGATTTGTCTGACCAAAGTAGACAATTTGCTAAGTTCAATGTGTACTCATGGATTAACCCATTTGAAGTTTTGACTAAGGTTGTGACCTTAGTTTGTTTATTTTGCCCAAAGGCAAATGTGCTATTATATTGGTCTCATAATATTAGTTTTTTTTTTTCTCTTTAAGTTATATCTTGTCCTGTCATATCGTTTGATGCATTCATGTTTTTTCATATTTATGTATTTTTGTGAAGAAGTTATTGGAGAACATATTGTACAAGGGATTTGTTTGTCCAAAGGGGACAATTTTCTGAACTCATTGTGTGCTATGGATTAACCCATCTAAGGTCTTAGTTGAGGTTGTGACCTTAGTTTGTGCATTTTGCCCAAAGGTGAATGTACTATTATACTAGCCACATTGATACCTTATTATGTCCTTATTAGCTTTTAGTAGGATGATAGAAACACCTAGCCATTGATGGATTGATGGGTAAATGGAAGAGTATCCTTACTCCAAGGATCATGGAACACCAAGAGCTCCTAGTCTCCAATGTTGAAATGAGACATCCAAATGGAAGAGAAAGGTGATCGATGTGAAGAATGGAAGCACTCTAGGAAGGTTGACTTACTCTAAGATGAAGGTGGAGGCCACTCTAGGTTTTGTTTTTTCACTCACCAAAGGCGGAGATAGAAGTAGGTTGGCCGAAAATCAACCTAGGGACTAATGATAAGATTTTAAGGCACAATGACTCACTCAATATCATAAAAATCCAAAGTGTGAATAAGGTGGGAGGCGTAGGGTACTTATAGAAGGAAGGAAAGGAATCAGGGTTGCATTGGAGTTTTTTGGTCAAGAAATGCAACCCAAATGCACTTCAAATGCACCCTAAATGTAGTGTGAGGTTCATTCCCTCCTAGAAGATTAAAGTATCCTTCGACCTAAAAATTTAAAAAAAAAATGGACTTTGACCTCACAAGTCAAGGTTTAAGTCCTAAAATAAATCCTAGTGTAAGTGTCCCGTAATACAAAGGAAAATTGAAAAATACAAAATAAATCCTACCATCTAGGGTACCCAAAATACAGGGTAAAATAGGAAATGAAAGTAATACATCCTATACTAATAATATCAAGACTTAGGAGAGGGTCATTACTCTACTCACATGATGAGCATAGCTCTAGGCATGGTGGCTCCTCTATCTTCCTCTACTCTCCTAGCCATAGACCTAGTGATGAGTACCACATATAACTCTAAGGATGGTCCTCCATCACCCTCTCCTTCTTGTGAAGGATCTGTTCTTAGATCAATATCCTCATCCTCAATGTCAGTTGTCCCTAAAAAAGGAGTAAGATCACAAACATTAAAATTAGTGCTTACACCATAATCAAAGGGAAGATCTAACCTATATGCACTATCATTAATTTTTTGGAGGACTTGGAATGGACCATCTTCTCTAGTGTTTAGTTTCCTTCATCTAATCCAATCCAAAATCTTAAAATTGGTTTAGTAAGGTTCACCAAATGATAATGAGGCCTAGATAAATCAATTTCTTGGATTAAATGAAAAAAAAAAGTCTAATATGTGAAATTTGGCCTAGGCTCTCTAAAGGCCCAATTGCTAGCTTCACGTACACATATGCTATTTGCTACCCCACTACTAAAACTAAAAATAAGAAAATATATGACCCTTAATACAAGGACAAATGAAGTAAAAATCTCCAAGCAATATACCCTAAAATCCTAAGGGAATGACCTACAAAGAATGATAAAGGAGCCTTACAAATATAAAGGAAAAATAAGCCTATACATGTATCTAATATATACAAGGTAAAAGAACTCAAACTATACAAGCTATGTACAGTAGAGACTATGAGACTAAAAGGAGGAATCATACTCAATGCTCATATAGAGCATAGGTCTAAGAAACACCTTTTTTTTAGAAGTCTCCTAACCATGAACCTAGTTAAAGGTCCAATAGTCTTCAAGTGTGAGTTTCCTATGGATGATCTTCCATCAACCTTCACCCTTCTTTGTCTTATGTCTTCCAAAGGGATCCTTAGGAAGTAGGTTTCCATCATCTTGAAAACTTGAATTATGAGTTTCTTTTGTGAAAAATTTCCTTTTATACCTTTCTTAAGTCGACTCCACTTATCTTTGGTCCAACCTTCCA